GGACAATAGCACGCCTCCCTTGTCAAGCGCCGTCCCATCCGATCCTGTGAAGCAGGTAGTGGGTTCAGTCCCATTTCACAGGTGGGCACGGTGCCTTTCCTCTGGATCTGTACCCTCCAGACACCAGACACTGGCTTGACTTGTCTCCGGCCCCACCTTAAACCGTTCTTGCCACACACACAGGGTGCTTGGTGAAGGACGTGGAGGTATGACTCACAGATTGTGGGGCTGGGGGGGGGGGCTCTGGGAAAATCACAGGGCACATCTCCTTAAATCCACTGCCTTCTTCAGTCAACCTCAAAGTGTTGAATGGAACCACCCAGCCGGCAGAGTTCAGCTGTGGCCACAGGGTCCACCCTATTGAGATAGCAGGGTGGCCTTGACCTCCCATGAGCATGGGTTTCAGCTCTGGATGGCCTGGGATAACTCCCTGTGTCCACACCTCCTGATGGCAACTCCTGGGAAAGCCCAACTGAATAGGGCTCAGCTTCTTCCATCATTCATTCACTATTTTACCCTTTTCATGACTTGGTTATTTATTTTTTCCATTTTTGTTAGGAGGAAGCCCTGGCATCAGGGCTACACCTTGGGGTGAAATCCACAAAACCAGTTATTCGAAACCACCTGCCGCTTTGTGGGAGAAAGATGAGACTTTCTACTCCTGTAAAGAGTTGCCGTCTGAGAACCCACAGGGACAGCTCTGTCCTGTCCTGTGGGCTCGCCGTGATTCGGAATCGGCTAGATGGCAGTGTGTTTTTAGTGACGAGAATGCCACCACACTTTAGGAGCAGAAAGAACATTCAGATTCTTCAACCTGGTTCAGCCAGATCTCCAGCCTAAGAGAATCATTCCAAATTGTGGGAAAGTCTCATCACCCCCATAGTCCTTACAAATAACAGTCATTGATTTTATTTTTGTTGTTGTGGAAAACAGTGGAACACACACCGTTCCTGAGTTTCTACATGTACAGTTTGGGGACATAGCTGACTTCTGAGTGTGCGTCCACTCTGACCCTCCTTCCTGAGTGTTTCCTCCCCCGTTAGCACTGACCCTCTGATGGGCCCACATTTCATCTCTAGGGAAGGCCCAGGCTGCTCACTCCCTCTACTCTCCATCCCCAGGAGGAGTCATATTGGCAAGAGCCTGAACTTAGACACAGGAGAAGCCCTGGGTCAGGAGACTTGGGCCAGAATTGGGAGGCAGTTCTGGGTTCCCGTGGAGCACCCTGGCACCAGAGTACCCTGCCTTGGTTTCTAGTCCAGCTAAAACCAAGATACTACCAGTGGGCAGCTCTCAAGAGAGGAGACAGTTCTCACATTAGGGGACCAGGGTCTTGATTCAGGGTCCAAAGGGTCTGCTCTGTAGGCTCTGAGATCCTGGTTTCTCCCAGCCCCATAGCCTTGGTTTCTTGGCGAGGTTTGCCGGGCATCAACCTTCTTCCTATGTGTGCCTCTCCTGTGCCTAATCCGCTCTTCCTAGCCCTCAGGAGTGATCCGATTTAAGACATACCTACAATGAGCTAGCCCAATTAACAGCACGGAAACATTCTTCCCCAAAAGGGTTAGATCCCCAGGTAAAGGGAGGGTGTGAGAGTGGTTTGCTCATCTGCTAATGGAAACACTAGCGGTTCAAACCCAACGGCGGCTCTGAGGGAGAATGTCTGCTTCTCTAAAGATGATTGTCCAGTTGATTGACATTCAGAGATGCCATTCAACAGAGAGCGGAGCCCTGGTGGCATAGCAGTTAGGGGTTGGGCCGCTAATTGCAAGGTCAGCAGTTCAAAACCGCCAGCGGAAACTTTCAGGGACAGTTCTACCTGGTCCTATAGGGTGGCTGCGAATGGGCATCGACTTCATGGCAAAGAGATTGGTACCTTGGGCAGAGACTGTGAGCTGTCCGCGGTGCTGATCTCCCTGTTGTCTCAGTACCCAAAGCCTTCTGTACCAGACACACTTCCCAGGTGTTGTTGTTGTTGTTTTGGGTATACGCCAGAGAATGGTCTTGTGGGGCTTCCAGTTCTACTGTAGGGTTGCTATTTGATGGGGTCGACTCAATGTCACAGAATGACAACACTTCCAACATATTTTGGGGAGACACTGTTCAATCTCTAACATTCCTTGGTTTCCCCCATATTCATATACTTCCTACATCCAAAAACACCCCCCCCCAAAGTCTGAAAATGATGCTATACATCCCAAATCTCAGCTTCTGAGTAATCTGAATAGAATATGGATGAAATCCTGGGACAGAATTTCTCTCACTCTGTTAACCTGCAAAACTTAAATACAGGTTTCTGGAAAACCGAAGGTGAACATGCAATGACAACAAACAGATCAGTGGTTGCCAGGAGCCAGGATAGGGTCTTGGGAGGGACTGATTGCAAAGGGGCATGAGGGAACTTTCTGGAAATATTGTCTCTTGGTTGTAGTGTGGGTTGCACTGGCAAAATTCATCAACTCCCAGATTGCCCTTTGCGGCATGTGCATTTCACCTCAATGGGGTTTATTTTTAAAGCCCTGCCTCAAAGGGTTAAACTCAAGGTCTGGGTTAAGGTGCTGTCCAAAGTAAATGTGAGTTAATGTCCACAAAGTGGTTCACCGGGATGATGGCACAGAGTAAGTGTGCACGTAAATGGTGACCATGGCAACCTGCAAACATGACTTTTGCTCAGGAAATGGGGCAAGCACGAGCAATAAATGCACGTGTGCATGGGGTGCTCAGGGAGGAGGGGGCTGCCTCTGCAGGGCCCAGAGTCCAGAGCAAGGGACAGGGGCTGTGAATGTGGCCTCCTGGGCTTCCGGGCAATGATCTTGGGCCCTGAAGAGAATTACCCCATGATATACACCACCACCCCCAAGCAAGCACCATGTCCTCCACTCAGCCCTAGCCTCCTGATTTTCTTCATTTCTTCATTCATTCAGTGCTGGACCACCATCCCACCCAAAACAATGACACATCGGTGGCAGCCCTCTACTGAGTGTGAGGCAGGTGCTGGACTGCTGCTGAGCGTTTCGGGTTGACACTCCACCCCCACCCCCCCGCA